ACTAGACAGATTTATTTTTTTTTATTTATTTTGGAGGGAATAATCGAATTTCTCAACTGAGAATATGGAGATTTGTTTGACATCGATGAAATTATGGATTTTTGCTGACAAAAGTTAGATATTAATTTGACGCTCTGGACGTTAAAGGGTTAAAGAATGCCATCCGTGGGATCAAACGAGCATTAAACTCGATCTAGTGTTCGGAATTGTCTTGATTCCTCCATCTGCATCTTCAACTCTGGGATTGGAGAACAGATTGGTATCGTTTCGAACTATTTCCGCAAACACTCCACGATTTGTGAAGCGTCCAATCGTCGAAGCGTGATTCTGAATGAAATCGTAATCTCGTGAAGGTCAACGTCTGTCTAATCACATTGGTTCGTTATCGAATAACATACCTATGTCGAAATTAGTAAAACATGTGTTTAATTTCTTCTTTTTTTTGTACATAAGGTTATCCTTATTATCTGTTCATCATTATCTCATCTCTCTTCTTCTGAAACCCTTCGAACTCTTTACGCTTGTTTCAGTTGCCTAAATCGAGTTTTCGCTCGGGATTTGACAAAAGTATTTTTTAAATAAAATATTTAAATTGAATTGTAAAATAAGAAAAGAAAAAATACATACATATTATATGATTGTATTTATCCCCGTTTATTCGGTCTTTAAAAATATTTAATGTTCAGTGCCGAGGAATCGTCAACCACTTATCGAGGATTTACTGTAGATATGTACTTACGATTCTGCAATTTATCTTTATACTTTCATGTAAAAAAATGGACTGACGTAGGATTAATAATATTATTACTAATTCAAACGATCGAGGATTCCTTTGGTTTATGCAATGAAAAATGTTGAAAATAACGGGCATACTTTTGCAATTCCTCTCTCCACGCCGTTTCGCCGGAAGTGGTTGCCTTCATGACCAACATTGACACTTGGGAGAGCGCCCTTTTCAAACCGGATAACGCCATTCCATCGCCCAAATGGACTTTCCCTGACCCTGAAGAGCTCGGCGACAGGGTCTTCGACGTCGATCCATCCATTCGTTTCATCTTGTTCCCATATTCCGCGGAACTTTGGAGTCGTTCGCAGACCCAACAACGTCCTATCGCTTCGCGTCTCAAAGACAACCTTTAATTCCAACGTGACCACGTCGTATGAATCATCATCGTTCGCGAATCAATCAAAAGCACAGGTTCGTCTGTCGCGTCGAGATCGTAAAAATAAATGCTCGCGAATCGAATGACACACGTGGACTCGTGCTGCGCCAATACAATATATTCTATACTACTAATATATTACTAATTCGAATAGAAAAAATAAACGAAATTCATTCGAACCGGTCACACGTTGCGGTGGTTCGATGATTCGCGACTCCCTTTAGAAACTCGTCGCGTTATTTCGGTTCGACTTGCAACCGGTATTTCGCGGTCTAAGTTTAAGCTTTCACGCCCGAGGCCGTACGCTTCTAGCGGTGCCGCTGGTAACACGCGGGAACCGAATAAAGGGAACGCATCTTAGGTCAGAGCCAAATGTCGCAGCGTGTCCAGAGCCACTGGAAAATCCAGATCAAACGTTTGCACCACATCCGTTTATCGACGATCCTACCGCCGCGTGTTCACCGTCGAATGATCGTGATCGATCCACAATAAGATTCACCGTTCCACGATCATCCTGCACTGAACCACGTACACTTATGATTTCTGATGACACCGTGATTTTTCGTCGAACCACCACCATCACACAAACACTGTCACTCGTGTATTCTCTGTTTCCCTCGTATCGGGAGTAGAATTTTGCGTAACACCCCTTCACAACCAACAACCACACTATACCTAGACACTTTGATCTTCTTGGAGAACAATCTTTGTGGAAGTTGCTGAAGATGATATTCTTCCTTAGACGAAATCACAGATCTCTAACGGGGGGATAACTTCGTTTGACCGCGTTGGTCACTGTGTTTTTACGCACTTTCTGGGACTATTTATAAAAACGTCGCGTCACCCGGTGAAATCGTTTGAAAAAAGATTCCAAGGCAGCGCGCGGAATATGTCGAGATGTTGCAGCGGGATCAGAGAACGGTGGGATAGAGGGTTTTGTTAATTGCAACGGTGCTCGTTTAGCGAGCACAGAGGCTCGACGGACACTGAAGCGATCCAATTTCGACCCTTGGCCAACGATTTCCCTTTTGTGTTTCCACGCCAGGTTGGCAACGTTCGCACACGATCGGCCAGATTCGGCTGATTCGCGTAGAGATGGAGCCTTCGTTGACAGAACTCCACGACGGCCCGAATAGATCATTGGACTGTGTCCTACGTTGGATGCACCCAGTTCGTGTCGCGATCAATGGCGGTTGGATCACGCCGGATGATGGATGGTTTCGTCGGGAAATGTGTGTTTCGATCAGCTAATTTTCAGTTTCTGAGGATCTTTTGTGGAAATCTGAGTACACGTGGATGGCTACTATATGTGTGGTTTCGAAAATCTCTATTTTTACCAGATAAACAGCAGAGACAATTGGAAAGTTGGCAGCGTTAAATTATACAGCTTTGATTCACGAATTCTCATGAACCTGAATTTTCAGGACGTTTATTTGGAAATAATGTAGGCAGCTCGATTAAGTTCAAGTGTGGAAAGTGTCGTAGTTGTAACTACTTTTAGCAATCCAATGACCGCTTTGGTTTTTCAATCGTTTTTGAATTCATTCATTGTGAAATTTAATCACTTAGGAAACGATAGTGACTTCTATGAAGAAGTAGTATAATAAGTTTAATAATCAGTCTTCTATGAAAAAATTTTCATGGCTTCATTTTCGAGATAATCGATTGGCGTGCACTTCAATACGCCCCGACTAGAATGTCTGTTCATAACCTTCCGTTTCTACTTACTACCATGACGAATACACGTGTTTCAGATTAATTTTCAAATACGATTTTCTCGAATTCGAAATCTTAAATAAACAAAATTTATTCTTTTTTCGGATTTATGTTTTATTATACCACCATCCGATTGGTTGTATGACGATTTTGGGGACAATCCGTATAAATATTGCGATTTATTACGATGAAGTTGCGTTGGATATTTTTCTGTCTCGAAAAACAACGCGTTGTCTGTTAAAACGAGGGGAAGAATGAACGGAGGAAGCGTTAACAAGCGGTTCCGGTGAAACGTAAAGGTCTCTATCACGCAGACAGAAGCGACGCCGGGCGTCGTGGAATCCCTGGTACACGCAGCAGGCGTCTTCCGCAATTAGGCGGTTCTATTCTTGTCCCGAAAGAGAAGATTTCTGCCGATCGCGGCAAGGGAAACGGGAACGGAGGCGTCGCTATTTTCGCGGGGGTCGCGGCCTGCTGTTGGTATTATGGTCCAATTTTCACGGCGACGTCGAGTACGTGTTTTTTGACGGCGCCGGATGACGGTCTCGCGGCGCCATTGACGGAATTATCGCGATACCCCGCGAGGATCCACCTGGCGATCGTCTCAATGGGATCTTTTCAAAACATTCAACAGAGAAACCTTCTGTTCGCGGGTCTTATTTTACAACGTCGATACCTCGTTGGATTCTTTTCTCTTTTCTCAAATATTGTGGGAAATACTAAGAAAATATAGTGATCTCATTCTGAAAAGAATCCTTGATCTATTTTCTGTTATATTGTGGATTATGTGAGGAAGATTGACTACACGTGTTAAATTAAAATTAACAAAATTTTTCTCTCTTGTCTAGATTATTTACTCTTTCTTTGAATATTCTGGAGAATACTAGAAAAATATAATGATGTCACCATGAAAAGGATCCTTGATCTATTTTCCGTTATACTATCGATTAAGACAATAATGATACGGATTTTCCATATAACTTAAGAAGAAATGAAAATGTTTTAGAGTACATAAAGTACTTACAATGCATTTATTACCACGAACATGTTCATATTTCTGCCAAAATCGACGTCCTTACAGCGTTTTTTTCTGTCAGACTTCCAATCAGGAAACCGGGGAACACTAAATCGTGTCTTCAAAAGTATTCCTGGTTTTATATTTCCGCTATCGGTCAGGCGAAAATTGACCATTTGCAATAAGTATAGAACACGTTAACCAACTATCTGTATCTGTATCGACTTATCGAGCGTGCATTAAGTGGTGATTAAGTGTCGGGCGCGGATGTTAAAAAGTAAATTACAGACCGTCGAAGTGCCCCTTAGATTTTTAATTAAAGAACGAGTCCGTTGGAAACTAGTCCAAGTTCAGGACACCGAGCCTCACTTAATTCCGCTAAACTGGGTGCCATTCTTAGTGTAACGAAAGTTTAGTAAAATATCACACGGTCATGATACACATACATTCCGATGCCTTGTCCCGACTCTTTTGTTCTTCTTATCATAATCGAGCGGTATGCGTGCTCAAAAAGATAATGGTAATTATTCGTTAGAAAATAGCCTTAAAATAAATTCCTGCAAAATTACCCTTCCAATACCGAAAGAACGGTGAAAACGACACAATGCAAACATTCATAACACGGGCATAGAGGGTGGACCACGAAACGTGATCAGCTTAGATTATTCAACTGCTACCTGTTCGATCGAAATTGTTTTTGGCTAGTATAATATGATTCAAGGAGAATAAATTTGTTTTCAACGCCTATTTTCTTATATAATTAACAAAAATCTTCGACATGTGTTTACTAAATTGTTATCATAATCTCAGATTAAAAAGCTGTAAAAGCGACCTACACTATTTTCTTCGCGATTCCGACCAATTGCAGTTTTTTCAAATTTTTTTTGTACATCATTAGAATGTTCTTAACTTAACAGAACTCAAGTGACTTGGAGCAATTTTAACAAAGTTGTTCTGTTTTAAGGGTGCGCGAATACTTTTGTTACCCTCAAGACATTCGGTACAAGAACTAAATTTCTGCCCGATTTTTATGTTTATAAATTAACGTCTAAAATTCTAAATTTCTATAAACACCCACAGTCCACCGATCACGTTTCGTCGTCCACTCTCTGGAAATTGCTAAGAATACCACGTCTTTTATCCCCGTTGCTCCTACCGGCTTCGTCCGTGGAGTCCTCGCTCAGTTTTACTGCAACCGCGGCCGCAGGAACGGTCGAGTTCACGAGTAACTCGTGCAATGGTAGAATGCTGTTTCCGGTCGTAGTGCAGAGGTCCAGATCCTCGTTGGTTCCTACTTTCCTGAGAGAACCTTTTTCGGTCATGAGCATCTCGTTGAACGATATTCGTATATTCTTGTTCCCGCGCCCCCCGCCTGTTGTCTCGTCGCCACGTTCTCGTATTTATAGATACACCACGGTATGTTGCTAAAACATCACTCTTTAGACAACAGAAACAGACAATTTCCTTTTAGTTGTCAACCGGCCATCCTGATCGGTCGATCCACTTCGCCTGAAACCTTCGAATAACTCCAATTATTCCGAGCACCACTCTCAGACCTTCGAATACACACAAGCTGTCGAGGGGGTGCTATAAATTCAGCAACAGTATTCCCAGTTGGTGTAGCTTACGCAGCTTAAACGTTCCTCGAAGACACAAGCGTTCACCGCTTTCTGTTGTACGACGTCAGACGAATTTACGATTTCCAATGGTTCGCGCACCACTTGTAGCCAATTCCCTTCCGTGTCCACGGATTTAGACGCACTCGTGTTCGGTTCCTTTTGTTTTACAAATAGAACCGTTGTTTCCGTCTGTTCAAGCACCGTAGCCAGTGTCGTTCGAACTTTCTATCGGACCCGCAGCAACCAACGGTGGGACCAGATTACGTACATAGAACCGATCGACCAGCACCGCACCATTGGTATCTAATACGTCCCGTAAAAAATAACAGAAAAATGTAAAATCGTTTCGTCACTGGAACATAGTCCCTTCGTTTGCAATGCAAATCGAAGATTACGTTTAAATTCACGCGAGCATTCCAAGTTCCACGGCCACGTCCACGGCACCACACCGTCCGTACGATTTCTCGTGCGAACGCACATTCTATCGTTTATTCTCGTACCGTTTCGTCATCGTTATCAATTTTCCGCGAGGGCCGCGCATGGTGACCGAGATTTCCGCAGTCCTACGTAGCCTCGCGCCCTTATCGACGAGATTCTCATTAAAACCGCGATCTATTCGACACGGATCTTCCTTGCGGCTCGACACTTCCTTTTCCGTTTGATTTCCCCGTCTGTACTGCAAACGTATTCCTCAAACCTTCTTGTAGACTCTTTTATGCAACAGAGTAGTCTTCCAGAAAATATTACTATTAAATCAACCGAAGCAATCAAAATGACTGGTCAGTACACTTTTAAAACGTTACAAGAAGACACTTTTCTCAGATCTTCTATAACTTTTATATGAAAGTGAACGAATTAGTTAATTTATTGTTAATATGATCAGTAAATCAGCAAATTCCAGTGTTAAACCACCGAGCAAAAGAAAACCAATTCATGATCTACACTTCTCTTCGATCGGTACTCCGACTTCAAACTCTCTATATCACGAGTTCGACGTCAAGTAGAATCATATAATTTCTCCTTAAACAAGGGCTCACCGGAAGGTTCGTCATGTTTATTGGTCCAATAGAAACAGCTGTACATTTACCTTCGGTAGTTCTAATATTAAACCACCGAACAAACAGATTTCCATCGTTCAGCATCGATCCCCAAAAGAAAACCAATTCACGATCTACACTTCCCTTCAATCGATACTCCAACTTCAAACTCTCTATATCACGAGTGCAACGTTAAGTAGAACCATATAATTCCTCCTTAAACAAGGGACCACCGGAATGTTCGTCATGTTTATTGGTCCACTAAAAACAGCTGTCCATTTATCCTCAGTAGTTCTAATATTAAACCACCGAACAAACAGATTTCCATCGTTCAGCATCGATCCAATTCACGATCTACACTTCTCTTCAATCGATACTCCGACTTCAAACTCTCTATATCACGAGTGCAACGTCAAATAGAACCATATAATTCTTCCTTAAACCAAGGTACCACCGGAAGATCGTCCACAATCCTCGATTTTCCGCGGTTCCCCGTCCGAGATCGTATCGTTCGGCGCCGAACAAAGCCGGCAAGCGTGCACCTCCGGTCCTCTCGGTTTCCGTTCGTGGATTCCACGCTATTTCTATCAGTCCAGGATCCTCTTCGTTACGGGTATCATTCATAATTCACCGTGACCAGCAAGCGTTCTTCCGTTTCCTTGACGCACACCGTTTTAACGATCGAGGAACATGTCACGATCGACGCCCATCCAAACAGTCGAACACCTTGATCGTTGTCTTCGTCGTCTATTGCATAAGAATTCAATGGTTCCTTCCTCGCGTTATCTACCATCGCACACACACACACACACACACACACGACAGAATCACACCTTCTTCTTCCGTTTACTCGATCTGCAGCTTCGAAGATCTTGGAACGTTCGCCAAATCGGCGTTGGTTCACGTCGTGGCGCGGTTTCACGATCGTAGAGACCGGCGAAAACTCGCTCGAAACCTGTCAACGGGAGAACCACTTCTGAGATTGCGTGCGCCGCGGCGGCATAAGCGAAAATAATCCACGCACACCGACGGGGCCGATGAACGTGTACTAACGGCTACGTGGGCACATGTCTCTCTGCGTTATATCCTGTGTACGTGTGTGCGTTGCATAGAAACTGTGTTATACACGAGTGTACGGTACGGAAAGGTGCACGTGTGTATACTCAACGATCTTGTGGAAAGTGTATGTGTGCGAGGAAAAACGCGACTTCATCGACACTCGTGTACATATGGAAATGAATTTCTGTGTGTTAAATAACGAACACGTGTGTGTGCCTGTGCGAGCACGAGTGTAAAGTAGACTTGACATGTGGGCAGGGACAGAGATAAGATTATGATGGTAGAACCGCTACTAGGCCCCGACCCGTGTGGTGTTTTTCGACAGGAAATTTTTTTTTGTATTCGCGATTATGAAATATACATACTATTGCTGCACGGTTTTTCTGCCCGTTCGAGGAGAGACATCTATGGTTGCGAGGAAAAACGACAAGTGGTAGAATTTTAGAAAATTTTATATAGTACCCTACTACATACGAATGATAAAAATATATGTATGTAAGCTTTATTTTACAAGAAACATTTATTATTACGTAAAAAGAAAAAACAAGGAAATATTGATAATAAGAAAAATTGGCGTTCAGAACTTTAAACGGCAATATCTCGAAAGTGAATGTGACCTGCGGCGTTGTTTCTGACAATCACAGACATACGATCGGAGAGTCTGATAGAAGTGGAGCCATACGATTTTCTGTTGCTGATATAAGCTCGACGATGGAATACACTGTGTATAAAACCACCAAAAAATGTTCAATTCTTATGTATTCTGGTTAAAATAAAAACGAACCAATTATGCCAAGTCTGAAATCGTGTTAAAAAATAATGTTTCGCTATAAAAGAATAAATTCTGTTCTCTAGAAGAAAAGTGGTTCGTTTTTATTTTAACCACAATATATTAGAAAATTTTAGGCTGGTTTTGTAATTATACCACGCAGTGTATTATCTATGAAATTTATCTTCTATAGTTTGTGTGTAGTGTATTCAAGAAGGATCGAAGGTTGTATTGTGGAGGCTGAAAATTTCGAAGATCCTTCTCGAGAGAGAAAATGATCGACATGAGGTGTGACGACGTTCAATTGATTTTTGCTCGAGCCGATGAAATAGGCGTAATTTCTTTCTTTCTTTCTTCTATCTCTTTCTGTTCCCCTCTCTATCTTGTTGATTTTTTTTCACCGATTTATGTGTCACCGGCAGCATAAATAGTGAAACGAGCCGGGTACGTACGCCTCCTCGATCGCCAACACACGTTTGTACACGAAGTACGTGCCACACATTCTCCCGACTGGCGTAAGCGGCACAAGTGGCTTTATACATATGTATGTAAATGTAAATAAGCGAGCGCGTAATGTAAACCGTGCGCAAAGAAGAAGTAAGTACGCGTGTGGAACGCGGTCGGTTATCGCGTCTGCTTGGGAACTTCGGAACATTTTGGTAATGGGGGTTTTTTTCTGTTCAGATTTACCGTTGTAATCGATTATCAGTATTTAAATTTGGGAATATAGATTTGATGAGAAGATACTAGGAGAACACGACATAGATCCTTGGATCATTGAAGGGTAAATCTATTCTGTAGATCTAGAAGCTCGGAATGAAATTGACTTCGCAATGTACATAAGATTTCTTGTAAACTATTGTTGTTTTATGTTTGCTAGTTTTCTTAATTCACATGAAAATACAGCAGTAAGTGGTGTGATTCATAATTCACGCTATAATTTCATCCGGTTGTGTAACTGAAATCAGCGAGTATCTTTTTACTTGGTAATTGAAGTTGGTGACATTTGGTATCTATTTCCTCTGAATCATTTGAACAACAGAGATTGAATGAAATTGAAACTAATTGTTCAAAGAGTACAAACATATTCAATGTGTCCAGTATGATAGATTCTTAGATAGGAATTACGTGTATACGTGTATATTGTTTTATTTGAATTAATGAGAATTTTAATTAATTAATTAAAGAGCAGCGTTGAAGTGTTGCCGTGTAAGTACTGCCATCTACGAGGAGGAAACGTAGATCAAAGGCGACGCTACTTTGGTTCCAACATGCTTTAGATAAAATATATTACATAAATAATGCCACAGACGAGGTGTAAGGACAGATGGGATATAATAATTCGATTTAAAATCCAATGTACATATAATCGTAATCAGATTTTTTGGGGTCCAAGAACCCCATTTACCATTTTATCGTCAATACCCGACGTTACCGATACAGTATCGAAGAATTAATTTGGCGGGAACATATACATATTTGCAAACCGAAGAATATGTAGTTGGCACGGAATATTAGTATTTCTTAACAATTTTAAGGATTGGAGCGTTTAAACGTTCAAATGATAAAATTGAGAAGTCTTCGCGACGTATTCATTTCACTTATAGACTTCGTTAAAAAAATACAGTTTGTATGCGATATATGTTGTCACCTGATCGTAGCACTTGGAAGTGTTTCAAAAACTGTAAAGGGTATCAAAGGTTAAAGAAAAACAATTCACTTAGTTAATTTTTATTTTTTATTATACACAACTTAACAATATTTATTGTACATATATACAATTTACATGATAAACTTTCTATTATTTATTTACTTAATGAGATTCCTCCACCTTAGTTCCATCTTGAGGAACGCTTTCATATTAGGGTCTTGCACTTTTTCGATAATTAATTTTTGTAGATTCGCGTCGCTCTTTTCAAGCGTGTCGCTCAACTTTTCCGCATACTGAATCCACACACAATTCGCGCATCCAGACATGCAACAATTCGTTGGCTCTGACATGTCGTCTATCGAACAGGAATTTTCAATGTTCTTTTCTTTTTTATTCATCCCATCGGATGATGGTGTTCCCTGTTCATCGTGGACGCACCTCCTATACATGGAATATATTTTCCGACAATTGCACGATTGATTTTTAACAATTGACCGAGCTAAGTTCATTGTTGTTTTCGTTGCACTTTGTGGATGCACCTATTTGGAAAATAAACCTTGATACACATGTGGTAACGAAATTGGAGTAACTTGAATGGTTAGTGCTCTCGTTATGTCGTGAATATTTTAATATTTTAAATGAAAAATAGCAATGATGTACAAATGTTCCAGATTGTGCTCTAACCTCCTTGATCACTGCAAATATGCCTTTGGTATCGATGTGTCGGACATTTCTAGATGTCTCTGCTAGTAACGCGTTTAAGTATACACATATATTTCTGTATTACAGTTATTTAAATAGCCTTTTATTTACCTTTGATTGATGGGGAATAATTTTACATATTTATAGGTCATTTATTTTTCATTTATTCGCAAATATATGCGTCCGTTCGTTAACATCAGACGCTCTCCTTGTACATGGACCATTGATTTCATTACACCCGCGTTTTTTAGGCGGGAAAATTTAACGAATATAAATCTTTTTTTAACCGTTTACATAGCAAACTTGGAGACGATGAATTAATTAGGAAATTGTGTGACGCTTAAATATTTAAATGTTAAATGAATATAATTGCATTTAATCAATTTTATTTTAAATATTTAGTATACTACAATAACAGCTGCTCTGTTTCTTGTTTGTCAGTAGTGGTCAGCAGACGACATTGGCGGCTGTTCGCGGCTGATTCGCATCCACGTGGGAGGTGGGAGTCTCGTCCCGTTGTTTATCCGAGGAAAATGGGTCGGAAAATTCCAGGCAAGAAGCATCGGGGTATAAAAGATCCCTTTAAACAGCATGCGAAACGACAGGCAGAGTGAGTTTTACATTAATTAGATCTTATTCACGAGTTATTTACATAGGTTAGTAATTCGGATATTATAGGTTAGAGACCAAGATAAACGAGCCGCCAAAAGATGTAGATGAACAAGCGATACCAAAAAGTTTGGAGAAAGTAGTGAAACTGAAAGAGGCAGTGAAATCCGGAAAAATAACTAAGGTTAAGAAAAAGAAAAAGAAGAAGACTGCCCTGATATCCGTTGGTGGAGAAACTCCTAAGCCGTTGCATCCAAAATCAAAACCAGACAAAGTTGTGCCTATTTTTCAACAAAGGCCTGGTGAAAGTCAAGAACGATTCTTGCATCGAGTTGACAGGGATACCCATGCTTTCATCAAGGAAACTGCATTTGAGAAAAAATATGGGGTCCAAGTAAATAGAAATCCTCAAACGGGAAAAATTGAGGGACTGGAAAAATGCAATAGAACTGAGTTGGATACAATTGAAATGTTAAGGGCGAAGCATAAAAATATTAGGAAGAAAAAAAAGAAGAGAGGTGCAGATGAAATTAGGATGACAAAAAGTGAAAAGAGGAAGGAAAAGTTGAGACTGAAGAAAGAGAAGAAGAAACAAGAGAACACAAATGACTTTGAGAATCTTAAAGACCAAGTAGAATTTGGCGAAGTTGCCCATGAACCACCTCACATAAACACTAGGCCAAAGGCAGCCGATTCTACTACTAATGGAATGGTTTGTATTCTCTGAGGTTTATGCTCTCGTCTCTTTTTGTCTATATAAATTGAACAACATTCGTGTTTTTTTATTACAGCCTGGCAAAAGGGACCTGCTTCTGCATTCATTACTCAAAAACAATGAGAAAACCAAAGTGGGTTCTCAGAAGTCAGCTTCCATAGACAGGTCAGGGAAACGTAAGAATCTGCCAGTTGGTGAAAGAAGACAGTTAGAGAAAGATCAGAACGATGTAATAGAAGCATACAGGAGGCTAAAAGCACAAAGATCTACAGACATCAACTAGGGTATGTAAATCATCAATATTGCATTTCTTATGCTGATTATTTACCCATGTTGACAAGGATGCTAAAAGTCATTCTATTGTAATACTGAAGTTAAATATTTTTTATTTAATAAAATGTACAATTTTTTGCTCATAGGAAATTGTATGTATTTGTGAAATTAAACATCACATTCTTTTTTTTGTTCACTATACAATCATCGGATTAACACAAAAATAGATGTATATAGTATAAGTTTTCATAGAAGAGTTCTCTGTGCAATACATGTGTTGGTACTAGAAGTCTTTGGATAAGGGTTATTAGAATAGATTTACTCTGAACAATAAGAAAGGAAATAGAAATAAAAAAAGATTCTAATAGGTCGACCCAAATTATGTTAGCACCAGTGCAATGTACTTTTGGGTCAAATTTAGCTTCTACCTCTTCATACCTTTGACATTCTATCCAGTAGTCCATACAAACGGTTCCAATCTCTCTTCAATTGGTAAAAGATTGTTCAATGTCTCTAGACTTTCTAGTGTCTGATTAAGAAGGGAATGACACTTAGTCAGTTGCTTGCTAAGCTCGTGTATTTTGCTCAGTTGTTCAGCAAATTTAGAGAACTTCTTTTGCCTTTCGGTTGCCATATAAAGAATCTTGGTCACTTCCGGTTCAATATTGATAAACAGAGTAGTCTGTTCCCCAGCAATCATTTGAGCATTAGTGTTAAGGTGATGCTGATAGCGTGCGCATAGATTGAAAAGACCGATCGGATCCAGCCTCTCCAGGACTTCCGGGTCCCTGACACCTGGTGGTAAATTGAGGGTACCACGCATGATGGGTAGGAACATGGGGATACTTTGTAGTCTAACCAAATCTGGATCCTTGTCAGCTGTACGGTCTGCGGCAGCTGGTTTCACTACTACTATGTTGTGAAGTTTATCAGAGGTAGTTTTTCTGCAACGAACAATTACATATACATTAGTTGAATAAAATAAATTATTATAAAATTTGAACAAACCATGTTTTACCTGTAACTGTTAGAGCCTAAGCTATTTTTACGTCTAGATATATCTTGTGCACCCAAACTCTTGCCTCTGTATAACTGTGATTGTTTATTAGTCATTTTTGGTGAGTCTCCAATGGGTCTGTTCACTGTGTATGATATATACGGTAGGTCAGAATCCGAACAAATGCTGGCACCAGGACTGGTGCACCTAGGTGGTGTGTCCTCTGGTAGCCTTTCACGATTCGGTACACTTTTACCACGTCTTAATGGCGCAATTCTTGTTCTATTGGCGTTAGCACCCTGTGTGCCGCCTTGAGAGCTTTGTTCCGATCCCATTCTGACTATCTCATTCAAATATTCCTGATAAGTTCACAATGTTTACATAAAGTATATACACTCATTTAACAGTTTGTGATAATCTTTGCCTTTTAACTGAAACGTTACATATATAGATATATATTATAATGCCATTTGAAATGTAAATCAATTATTTGACGATTAATTAGATAAATATTTCATAATAAATATAGCTTTAACAATAATCGTCATGTAAGATATAAGGCCATCTGACGCTGCCCCTTCGCGTGTAACGTTCTAAACAAGGGTCCGTTATGGTCGTTCATTTTTGTTCATTATTGCAAAAATTCCATTCACAATAATCGATAACATTAACCATCACCATTCTCGTGTATCGTGGAACTTTGCTTCTCTGTGTCCCCCCCGATCACGTTGTCACACAACGACCACGCTCGAATCGGAACCCCCGTATCTCAGCTTACGCGATAACAGAATTCCCCCGAAGTCGGTTTTCCGTTTTCTCTGTTGTCAAAAAGTCATTTCCCTTTCTGTCGTCGTTCGTACTGTTGCTAGAGTGGATTCACGTGTCGCGTTGCTTCCAACGACGAGAACACCATCTGTTGAAACGGATTTCGAAGTTTTGCAAGGGGAATCCCTGTTTTCGCTCGATAAAGCATTTCCCTGAAAAACTTTTTAACAAAATTCGGTATTTTTTTTAAAAGAGAAACAAGTGTGTCTTCGATTATTGTAAAAAAATGCAGTCATTGAAAACATAATGCGTTTGATTGATTTACAGGTTCTTCTTTTCAACATTCGTCTCTTTCGTAATTGGGCAGGGTTTTTTTCGAATATTTACTCAAAAATATACAACTGTTCTATCGTCATTTGAACGAAAGATACATAAATTACGAGGTCGCTGCCACTGTCGACTATCGATTTTATCAGTACGAGTCTTATGTATTTCCAACACGGACAGTTTGAACTGCTGATAACGATTGAACATCCTGCAGCCATGTTGTACGTCAAACAATCGATGTGTCTTTCGTGAACGTTTTTATCGATAACATACTGATAAAGATATCCTTCGTTTTTTAATTGTAGGAAATTCACCTAATAGTAATTTCTTACGAACAACATTTCCTTCAATATCATGCCTAAGTTTCTTATCTAGCTGAAAAGTTAATTTCTGGCTTTATCTGTCACGTATCGTTGTCTTTATTTATTTCTAAAAAGCTTACATCGACGAATATAATCATTCTTTATCTATGTGCACAACGTTGCAATTAAGTGCAAATTGGTAGTTTTGTGTTACTAAAAGTTTCCATTATCGATACCGATACAGTAACGAATTCGTATTGAAGCTACTTTACATTCTTCTTCTTCGTGTGTGTGTATTTTAAAATTTATCGGCACAATTTGAATACGCCTTGCAGAACATATACGTTTCACGGTTTAGAAGGTCGTTAAGCAGCCGTGTTGCGTAAAATGGTAATACTCGCAGCGGTTCCCCCGATGCAGCGCTCTTTACATCCACTTTTGGGCTTCATCCAGGCCTTCCTTGCACGTTTAACTTCGCGCGGCGATATCAACATTAAATTTACATTACATCGTGCGGTGACGAGGCCTTGCGTACCCGTTAGGTCTTCATCTCTTCTCATCTGTACTGAGAAGATAATCCTCGAGCGATCGTGCTGACGAGCCCGACATGCGACATTTTTGAAATTATTCGAGGTTTTCATTTGAACATTAATAATCCAAGCAAATCACATTCTTATGAGTAGAATTAGGATGAATCGAGTGTTACAGTATCTCAAGAGTTCTCAAATCCATGTCAGAAGAATTCATTACTACTTCCAAATTTGGAGAATTCGACGTTGACAGTTTTAAGTTTCGATAATTTGTCGATAGTTTTAAATCTGGAGAATTTAATGTTGATAGTACTAAGTTTCAGTAATTCTTTGTTGATAGTTCTAGTCGACACTGTCTTCATTGTTCCGCACTTTCCACCTATCGACGAATATATTCGACCCTCTGCTTTCCACTTTCGACAGTTCTCGCGTGATCATTTTCTAAACCGACATCGGAAGCGATTTAGAAAGTGGACACTTAGCGAAAAACAGACCAGTTGGTTCGCATGGAATACGAGTATCTATTAATGAACCGTCGTCGCCCGGCACTGTGAATAATTATCACTATCCGGGCACGAAAGTAAATCGGAAATTACAATTACCACTTTCGGATATACACGAAAATCGGCGGATCTGACGGTTGACATGGTCCGACGATCCATCCGCTTGTGTCAGTTTCCCGCGATTTTTTAACGAGCACTCGTTACCGACAACTTTCTAACGTATTGACGTATCCGTGCATTATCTTCACGGTCCGCTGGACCACGATAGAAACGACCGTTTCCCTCCCCTGTGTTTCTTATCGACGCGAAGCGTTACCGTAATGGCCTGTGCACGGATTCGAAACGGTGAACCGTGGAGGTCTCTAAATACGGGCCCCGCACACACGAACTTTTTCGCTCGTGATTTTTTGACCCCTCGACAGAACAAAAAATTCCTTCTTTCCCCTCCGGAGTTTTCGAAACTTTCGAGCGAGCACTTGTTATTTGATATAAATTATTTTCTACTATTTCGAGATGTTCTCCGCAGAAAAAATGGGAAAATCATTTGTACCATCGGAAAGAGTCAAGAAAATGTTATTTTTTTCGAAAAAAGTGGACTCACTCTAGGGTCCAGATATACAACAGATTGTTACCTACAATTGACTAATTCTGACTGGATTGTGTACTAAAGAATTTTATACCCGTATATGAATAAATAAAAAATAAATAAATATATAACGCTGATAAAAACGATTAACGTGTATGAAACAGTCATGAAAGTAGGTTTCATAATTCGATTCAAATAGACCGCTAGTACAGAGAGCTTTCTGGTTAATAGGATGCATCTGTAACAACGTGAAAACATACAGGAGGTGGAGAATAAACGAAAACTCGAGAAAGTAGAGCATAGAGGTCATTATATCAGTGAATAATTAGGGATCAAGCATTCTAATTACGATGTATTCTGCATATGAGAATATTAAAACAGTGCACACTTTCATCTCTGTAGTTTCTTTCCATCGATTGGTCCATTGAATTTACCACAGGTTTGTCTGACCATGCAAGCCTTCAAATAAAACGTATTGAATAAGTAACGATTGAATGGTTGCATAACACGATTCAGTGTTACCGGTTTGTCTGCACAATTGCCAATAAAATCGGAGAAAAATCTAAAGTGGCCGACGATTATGTATACAACACGTGAAACGTCAGACGACGAGGAGGCGGAGGGGGATCGCCACGTTAATAAGAGCAGCAGCGAAGTAAATGGAATATGCATGCATGAGTCTGCGATGTCTCCTACAGGCCTCGCACGGATTCCAATATTCCCCTCGACTACGAGGGCTGCCGCATAGTTATGACCAGACGGAACAAGCCGGGAATTCTCGAAAATTTCAAACTTCCTCGCGCCTCTCCCCTCTCCTCGCTTCCCACCTCTCTGGCTCATTTTTAATCTCTCTGCCCAGAGGTAGGGAAAAAAATACTTGACTGTCAATTCTTTTTTTCTCGTAGTCACGCGATATATGTATACCCTTGTGAATAATTCAGATCAGAATTTCGGTCCGCTTCGCCAGAATTTCTCGTAACTAGCCTCGAAAAAATATTATTCTTCACCAGGTTATAATTGACGTAAAAAACACCGCTGTAAATGGTATAATTAAATATACAGAATGGTCCTCGAATTATGGAAATACGGATACCTTTTCTGTGCGCCATTCTAGACAAAGTGTTGTTGGAAATGCGGAACATTTCTACAGGGTGGATTCTATATGGGAAACTGAGGTGAAAATCAGGTATATCAAAATTGCGGTCGAAGCTTCGTTTCCGAGTCGTTAATTGTCGAAAATATTCTTTTCGATTTTACTCAGTTAATTTCCAGTTGATACACTGGCTCGATCGGTGATCTAGTGATGAATAGAAATAAAATGAAATGAATGAAATGGACTCGGGAAATAGTCGAAGATCGTGTCTCCCAAGTAGAATAATCCATCCTGTAATAATCATACGGTAAATGTCCCAGTGGTTGGTCAATATCGTGGATTTTTGTTAATATTGAATTTGAACAAAATAGTAGCGAACTTCAAGATAGAAAATACTTCTTTATAATTTAAAATATTCGCTAATGCACGATGTATTATTTAAAAAAGATATTATCATTCAGCAGTCGTGAACTCGATGCGACATAAATGCCTTCTTTTTTTTCAGCCACATTTTTTCCGCAAAACTATTGGCGGGAAATTTCATTCGACCGTAAATTCCTCTTTTCCGTGGTTTCTATGTAGCTCATTGTGTGGTAAAACACACCGCGTGTGCGGGAACAGTATACATATATTCCGCGCGTTGGATACGCAAATTGGACGTTTCAACAACCGTACGGGTGTACAGAGCGGTTGTTCAGCCCTCCTGAAACCGGTGTGTTCACAAAATCGGGGGCAACTTACAATCGTCGCGATGACTAATTTTCTACGTTTAGACACGTGCTTTCCTTCCAACGAGAAGGAATTTTTCACGGTCTCGTGTGTGTACCTACCGATCCGTTTTTCATTTCGAACGAGCCAGAACTATTTTGGCGTTCGAGATATACGATTCGATTATTCACGGGACGTTTTCGCCGCCTCCTGGCTATTTCGATTCTGCTTAATATTTGGATCGTTGAGAGCTGCTCCAGATTTTCACGGTACTATCTGCGAAATTCTAATAATGTTAATAATAATTATATTTATTTATACACGGGTTAGGAACCCATTAGTACAATATACAGGAATACGGAAGTGTAGAGGATACATGAAAAATTTAAATATACAATAATACGTAAAGAAAAATTTAACAAAGGTTCTATAGGACTATACATGAAGAATTAGAGAAAGAACTATACAAGAATATAGAAATCATAATAATAATAATATTTATTTTAACGGGAAAAGCCCATTGATACAAAGATAACGTGAATATAAATAAGGACACGTGATGAAACAAAAAAAAGTACAATAACAATGACAAAAATATTACAATTATTT